GTTCCAGAAAAAAGAAAGAAGACAAACTTGTTGATTAGCATCTGCCAAGACATCCTGCAAAGTAGCTTATAGTTGGAATCATCAAATTTGGAAGACATGATATCATTTATTTTTAATTGTGGGTAAAAAAAAAAAAAAAGAAAAACAACCCACCCCACATAATATAAAGATTACCATCTTAGCCATTTTTAAATCTACAGTTCAGAGGTGTTAAGTACATTCGCATTGTTTGCGACCAATCTCTAGGTGTCATTTTCATGCTGGGAAATAGTCTGGGGGCATACTGACCAGAATCAAGACTCGCGGAGGAAAACTGCAATGTTAAACCATATTTCAAAGCATGAATGCCTGTCCTAATGAAATTAACTTTTTTCAAAAGCCCCATGACCTTACAGACAAAAATATATTAGATACACAAAAATATATTAGACTAGAAATATGCTTATTCATTTAGTTAACTCCATTATATATGAAGGAAGTCTTTGGAAAAGTTTGGTATTGTTGAGTGGAAAAAGGACTCTTTTGAGTATCTCACACGAACTGACTCTGTATATTGCATTGGCATGATATGCCAGGAAAATAACCTGGTGAAATTAAACTTCTACTCTCACCAGAAGGTTAAAGCTAGACAAATAGGTGTTTGTTACTCAGGGTTTATTATGTCATTTAAAATATATTTAATTGTATACATAGTATTAAGTAATATTTCATAATATATTTAGTATATTGGATATATTTAAGGTATATAGGGTGATTTGATGAGATTACTACAGTCAAGCTAATCAACATACATCTCCTCCCATATCTACTAATTTGTGTGTGTGATGAGAGCACCTGCAATCTACTGCCTTAGAATAACTATAGTCATCATGCCTGTACATCAGACATCCACATTCATTTATCCTATACAACAGCAACTTTGTGCCCTTTCTCTAATAACTCCCTAGTATGTGATTTTTTTTTAAAAGATTTTATTTATTTATTCATGAGACACAGAGAGAGAGAGAGAGGCAGAGACACAGGCAGAGGGAGAAGCAGGCTCCCTGCAGGGAGGTCGATGCGGAACTCGATCCCAGGATCCCGGGATCACGACCTGAGCCGAAGGCAGACACTCAACCACTGAGACACCCAGGCTTCCCCTAGTATGTGATTTTTAAGCAAACAAACTCCCCTTACCTTAAAAAAATATTATAAGGCTTATTCTCTCCTCTAGTGCCTGTTCTTTTCTTTCATAACACTCAACATAGTTTGGTACTCAGAGAGTTTTTTTTTCTTGCTTAATGTATATTTCTTTTATATTGTCAGCTGGTAGCATGGAAAATGAGGCATGGGTAGACACTAAATCTCTACTTGTTGCTGGAATACAGCAAAGAGGATATGTGACATTATTCAACCAATATTTACTGAGTGCTTACAGTATGTCTGGTACTGTGTAAGGCTTTTTCCCAGTGATGCACCTTCGCAGAGTAGCAGCCAGTTATATGCTTTACATAAAAAGAACTACAGGTTAGATTTTTTTTTTTACAGGTTATGTTCTTAATACCAATTGCACCAGCCTTGACTATATACTTTGTTTAAGTGACATCTCCTAAGCCCTTGTCTTCTGAGAACTGCAGATAACCTTATTTTTAAGTAAGCAATTTCTATACACTTTGAGGTCATTCTAAGTTACACAAAGTATTCCATAAAGTAGTGAAAAATGGACTTCTCACTGCTTAGACCTAGATACTACCAGTGTGTATCAATGCCTCCTTCTGCATGCTTGTTTCCCCAGACCTCAAAGAAAAGTATCAGTTGACCTCAGGCTTTGGGGCACTTTATCATATGTATTGAGCATTAGCAGATCAATGATTCGATATTTGCAGAGCTTTGGAAGAAAACACATAAACTGAGTTTTTCTTTGGCTACTTACAATCCTCATGTACATGGTCTACAACTGTAAAGGCAACACAAGCGTGAACAAACCACTTGGAAGAGCTTTAAAGACTAACAGGCTCCTTTACAGTTTCCCTCCAAGTTTTGTGTATGTTCTCTAGGCTGAGCAGACAATGTCAAAAACCACAGAAATAGCTCTAATCCGGTTATAATAGTTGGTGAGAGGGAGAATGCTCTGGTGGTTTAAAGGAATAAAGGAAACCAAATCAAGATAAGGAAACACACTAAACAAGTTATTCGCTAAATTGGTTTACATTCAGCTCACTAATAGATTTTCTTCTAGGCGTGTCTGTGAGATGCAAAATTTAAAATGTGACTAATATCACTTTACAAGGTTGATTAAAGAATGCAACTGTGCCAAGCACTGGGTAGATTTTCCCTGGGTAGACTATGGGGGCATGAGCCACTTGGTTATGTCAATTGCAAGCCAGTAAGACAAATAACTGAATGAATGAATGGAAGAATTAATCAATCAATCCATGCATCAGTCAATCAATGGTGAGATCTGCCTTCCTGATACTGTTTCATTCAAAATCAAGCATGTAAGAAGCATTTAAAAAAATACGGCTAGAATTGATTGATTTTTTTTTTAATATAAAGGTGGGGGAAATAATCTTAAGAGAAAAAGAGAGAAAGGAAACATATTTTCGAAGCACCCTGTGTACCGCTATCGTGAGTTTTGAGGCCATTTCCCTAAGACTGTGAGAGTAAACACACAATATTCATTAAATGTGCCTTTCCCATAACTGGTCCATAAGCATTTCCCATGACTCTGCAGTTGAGTATCTTGGCTGGAAGAGGATCTGGCCATTAGAAGGAGGGCTCTAGATATGCTGAGTCCCAGCCGTGCTGAAAGACTTGGCACCTTTATATGCTACTTCCTAATACCAACCTCGGCATAAAATGTCATCAGAAGCCTGCATAAACATTGGACTTAGATTCACATAAATTATTTCTGTCCTAAGGTGCTTTCTGCCAGAATTTAGTAAAAACAACACTTTGAGTAAATAGAATTGGCGTATAAATGTAAGAATATTAATCCAACAAAATGATCATAGAAAAATATAATCAAAAGTACACACTTGTAAATCTTGCAATGATGGGAGAGGTTTATCTTGTGCCTCTGAGTTTTTATTGAACATTTCCATAGAGTTCCTTTAAGCTGACACTGCCAAAGTGCTTTGAATTATCAGTTGCTTTGTGGAATTGTAAAGTCTTTGAGTTTCATTAAAATGCTTAGGAGTTATTTTAATAATCATATGTGTGATTAGCGCCTGTTTAGTGCTGGATCTACAAATTCATTTTAAGAGTAAACATTGGGACAATGAAATATAATGCCAGATACGATTGCTGCTGTCAGCAAAAACATTGTCTTATTTTATTAAAAATCGCCAACAAAATGCCACGAACAGAAGATACAGTTCTATTTATAGATATTTTTTCCTCTACAGTATTATGGTATCTGCACACCACCAGGCTGTATCTAGCAGAGTTTTCATTTTGCCTCGGGTGTGTGCGTAAATAGAGAGGTACAGAGTCCTTTTATTATATGTGCACACGTCTTATTATGTACAGCTCCCCCAAAGTCCTATTCGAATAGTTGCTCTAATATAACAGCGCTCGCACCGTCAGTGCTGAGTATTTTTAAGTGGATGAAGGTTTCCTGAAAATGATGATAATTTAGCTATTGGCAATAATAACATTATAACATTCTCAGTGATCCATTTTGGCTTTAAGTACTTATTAAATAATATTTATTCCTAAATTATGAACTTACAAAATTAAACGAGATTGCAATGTGCAATAAAAACACACTTCTCTCTAAACTCCAATTGACTCCATTCCTCACAGATACCTCTCCTTGTGTTCATTCTGCTTTTACTGTTTTCTACCCTCTGCGAGCTCTCAGCTCTTCTCTCTGATGTGTTGATAGGCTTTCCCCCAAAGCCACTCTCTATCTACTTTCCCTACCCACTCGTCCCCTTCTTGTTATTCTCTCATTCCCTACTGATATGGGAATAATAGGATCCCAAGGCTGTCCTTACAGTATAATTAAAGTATGAATTTCCAGGAGTTGGAAATTGCAGGCCATTTTTATTATGCTTCTATAATAAAGCCAGGTAACATTGAGAGAATTAAAATGGCTTTTTTCTAGTAGATAACTTGGTAAAGATTTTTTCCCCCTTGGTTCTATTGTTTTAAGAGACTGGGAGCAGAAAATGGGAATAGATTCACCAATTCTTTTTCTGAAAACACCTCTATCTTTTACATGATATATATCCCCCTAGATCCTGGGAATATGTTGTAAACTTGTAACAGATGGTGATGAAGCTTCATATTTTTATACAATACATTTTTTTGAGATTCTGCATCTACTGTATGTATCTATCAGGGAAAATGACCTTGAATGAATGAAGTCATAGTCTGAAGGAAAAACACCCCACAGATAGACCAGCAAAGAAATGATGAGTCAGTTGGGTTGTTTTGTTCCCCGTGGTAAGATGAAATAATTTCTGATGAAAAACAGAATGTTGAAATATGGGAACCAAAGGTCGTCTTAACACTCAAGGTGCATCTGTTAATTGTTCCAGGAGAACCGGTTAGCCATATTCTATAGTGATCAGAGACACACGGAAGACGGGATATCACTGTTTGCAAGTGGGAACGCTATTTGCTTCACTTGGGTAATGTTGGGGGCTTACCAAAAATTGTTCTGGCACAACATCTACCAGCATGAATGTTAGGAGGGTTCTAACACTGTGAGTGCTGATATTTTATGAATGTTTTATCACTGGCTTGAAAACAAGAAGTTTGCAATTGAATCAACAACATGTCAGACAGACAAAATATTAAAAAAAAAAAAAGAACATTAGTGGGAATTACTGATGTCCCTATTGTAAAAACAAACTGAAGTTAATAAGAAACTTGATCCTCTTAACCGATTAACAGAAGTCAAGTTTTAATTGCATGGCTTCCCAGACAAATCAAGTGGCGCTGTTAACTTGAGCATTGGTTGTTTAGAGGGTGCGCTAATGGGGGAAATTGCTGCATATTCAGTTACCCACCTCTTTTTTCGACAGCTTCAATGCATTGCTTTACAAACCGTGGAACTGTGGAATTTTCACGTTCACACACTGTGTGCAGATGAGAGCCAAAAATTTGATCTGCAAAAGAAACAAAGATGAGCTTCATTAAAATCCAAGATTGCGTTGTTCTTTAATTTGATTCTGTTTCCATATCCACTGCGTGCTAAAATCTGCGTCTTGCATAGGAATCAATTTTTTTGCTTTAATTCCAAAGGGTCTATTGCAGAGATACAAAGGCCATAACTCCCTCTTTTATGGAATAGGACTCTGGGCCCAGAGAAAGAAAACTAACACTCTGCCATCGATTAGTCAGGGACGACAGAGTAAATTATAGTCTCTCTGGGCATAACTTTGTTGTTTATAAAGTAATGACAAGGAATTAAGAAAACTTCTACAAGATGATGAATCTTAATGAATTGGTGTCTTGAGTGTTTTAGAAGAAATTTGCCAATGATTGTAATTTTATCAGTGTATTTCGAAGATTTGTTCAGTGGGTCAATGATATTTGAAGAGGCACGTTCCAGATTTACTTTGAAAGGAATTTTTTAGTGTCTTTCCTGCCTTAGATTTAGATGCCCTTTCTCTCTCTCTCTCTCTCTCTCTTTTTTTTTTTTTTGGATGCCCTTTCTCTTGTAGAATCTAAGTATCCCCTATCCTTTACAGCTCAACTCTGACCATGCTTTCTCCAGAAACTCTTCTCTTCCTATCTCAGCTTTGTGTCTCCTTTCACACGGGTTCTTTGGAATACCAGTTCCTCGGGATGCTAATAGGCAATTTGGGAAAAAAAGTCCTGTGATCAAAACAGCTTAGCAATGTTGAGTTAAACTAAGTTAACCAGGTTTCTTTCATGTGTATTTTTACAGCATGTGACAGGCCAATCTGCACCGAGAATCTCCACAAAGGGCTGGAGGATGCACTATAGCCCGAACTTATTCGAGTAAGATCCTTTCATTTCAAAGGGCATCTCTCCAGATTGATGCTTCTGAGAACACACTCTGAAGTACTAGCCTGGTCTTCTCACTGGGAACATGATTTTGACTGCCCTGCGGTGTGTATTTACATTTATAATATGTGGAATGTATTTTCTCAAAGCATATTTGGAGCATCTTCAACCTCTTTGTGTTCATGTAGTCACCAGTGCTCAGCACAGACTCGGCCCACAGGATTCACTCATAGATATTTTTTATTGTGTTAAAATATACATAACGTAAAATTTGCCATCGTAACCATTTTTACATGATCAGTTCAGTGGCATTAAGTGCATTTACATTCTTGTGTAATCATCACCTCCAGCCACTTCCAGATTTTTTTTAAAAAAAACAGCATAGATGTTTATTACTGATAATGAAACAAATATTTAGTGGTTTCAAGGACTTCCCATCTTGCTCAAAATGAACTTCAGTTCCCTATTGCAACTTCCAAGGTAACACGTGACCTGCCCTTGTACCCATTAATTGAATTCATTTATTTCCTCTCTCCTTTCTCCCCCCATCACTTGCCAGCAGCCACTCTGTCCACATTGCTGACTCTTGCCAATACCAAGCACACTTCTGCCCCCAGGGACTTTGCACCTACTATAGCCTCTGTGTGAAACTCCATTGTACTAGGTCACTTCTGTTGCCTTTCCTACCCACTTTTTGCTAAAACATGGCCCCACTGCACTTGGAACCTTCCATGATTCTTTCTTGTTTTATTTTCCTTAGAGCACTTATCTCTGCCTGGTGTATCAGACTGATGTGTTTCCTGGTTAGTTATTTCCCCTGCTTAGAATGCAAAACCCAGGAGAGTAAAGACTACACCTGTATCTTTTCTTCCTGGGTCCCTAGAAAGCAATCTTTGGCATATACTAGAAGTTCAATAAACATTTATTGAATGATTGATTGCAAAACATTGTCTTCATCATCAGTGGAGGTCTTCAATAAATTAAAAAAATATATTTGTAGTAGAAGTGGTGAGAAAAGCAAAATTCAACACGACAGCATGGTAAGTAAAATATTACAAAGGCATAGTCAAAATGGAATGTGTTGATACGTCAAGGAAGTCATGATTTTCATTCATTTCTTAGAAAAGGTGATGGCTTGAATTAAGGGCAACCCAGCAGAAAGGGAAGTAATTAAGGCTAAAGCATGAATATATTTCAATATGAAAATGTGTGTTTTCATCCAAGAGACAGAAAGATGATAGGCCCAAAACATAACAGTGTAGAGAAGTGGGAAATAACCATGGGTATTTGCTTTGAATACTTGGTCAAATCTTGAAAGATTTGTTCAAAAACAGTGAGCCACCACTATAACAAAAAATGACATAAACTATTACTTAAGAAAAATAACCCCAAACTTCAGATGCAATATTTAAATCGGCCAGAGATTAGAGTCTGGAAGAATTACTATAAAGTACAAAACCCTCTAATGCAAATTATGATTCAAATCAATTTCATAAATATTTATTGAGCATGTGGCAGGACATCAGACCAGCCTTTGGTGCTCACGGAAGACTTCCCAGAGAAGAACCAAATCTTTGGGAGAAGTAAGGCTTAAGTGAAGTGGTGAGAGAGGGGAGAAGAGGCCATTTAGGGAAAACAGAAGGAAGGTATACAAATTTGATGGGAAGAATGGATGTTCTGGAGAAATATTCACTTTTATTTAGAGAAATCTTGATGTACTAAGCTTTAAAAAAATGAAGTTGGCATTATGAGAGTCTTAAATATTTAGTAGCTTGGTTAAATTATTTGAAAGTGTGCAGACACCAATGCTTTCTTATACATACACTATTCTCTTCCCGATTTCTTTCTTGTTTTTAGAGTCCATTTATAAGACAGATCCTGGAAATGTTCCCTACTGACTTCTGCCATCCTTGCAGCTCTGGGTAATTAGATACTTCTGATTAGTTGACTGTAAGGAGAGATGATTTCGGAAGCTACAAGAATTTTTCTTTTCTTTTCTTTTTTTCTTTTCTTTCTTTTTTCTTTTTCTTTTCCCTTTCCTTTTCTTTCTTTCTTTCTTTCTTTCTTTCTTTCTTTCTTTCTTTCTTTCTTTCTTTCTTTCTTTCTTTCTTTCTCTTTCTTTCTTTCTTCTTTCTTTTCTTTCTTTCTTTCTTTCTTCTTTCTTTCTTTCTTTCTTTCTTTCTTTCTTTCTTTCTTTCTTCTTTCTCTTTCTTTCTTTCTTTCTTCTTCTTTCTTTCTTTCTTTCTTTCTTTCTTTCTTTCTCTTTCTTTCTTCTTTCTTTCTTTCTTTTTTTTCTTTCTTTCTTTCTTTCTTTCTTTCTTTCTTTCTTCTTTCTTTCTTTCTTTCTTTCTTTCTTTCTTTCTTTCTTCTTTCTTTCTTTCTCTCTTTCTTTTTTTTTCCCAGATAAAAGGAGAGGGGTGTATTAAGGCACTCTTTCTATTTTCTTTCTGCTTTGAACATCACTGTGCAATCATGTGATGCTTGGAGCTACTGCAGCAATCTTATCACCATGAGACAACAAGCTTGTAGACAAAAGCTAACAGGATTTTAAAAAGTTACAAAAAAACCTGAGACCTCAATGACATTGTTGAAGTTCTAAATCTAAAACATTTTTTCTAGATTTCTTACTATGTGAGATAATACATGTCATTTTTCACTGAGCATTCTATCCCCTACAGCCAAAATAATCATAACCAAACGGAGGCACGTGGTTTGAAAAAGACTGAACACAAGGAGATTAATTAAGAGGCTGATGTGATTGCCTAGGAAGACCAGACTAAGGACAGAGTTGTGGTAAATTTAATCATTATTCATGATTCTTCTCGTCCTCTCTGAATTATATTTATGCGCTCACCTCCTTTGCTGTGTGTCTGTGTGGAATAACTCACTAGAGTGGGGAATATTTATTCCTCCAATTTCAATGATGTTGGGCTTTGGACAATGTTGTGTGAGTAAAAATGACAATGTGTCAGTTCCAGATGGAAGCCTTAAGATGCATTACAGATTTCTACTCAGCAGACTACTTTTCTGCTATTGCCAAGACAAGAGCTTCCCTGGGTAGCTGTTGCCCTTTCAGTCTGAGCTCCAGACTGAAAGCAGTTCCAGGCCAATGCTCAGTTTAGGGACAAGTCTAGTCAGACCTTCCACTTAAAGTATAATTGTCCAGTCAGGCCTACCCCCGGCAACTTGACCCACAGACTCATGAGAAATAAATGCTTCTTGCTGTACTTCAGAGATTTTGTGTTTGCTTGTTATGCAGTGATAGCTTACTGATAAAGATGATAACAGAAGTCCAGGTTGTTGGTGACCTAAGCTATGCTATGAGAATGAAAACAAAGAGAATTTTGGGATCCCTGGGTGGCGCAGCAGTTTGGTGCCTGCCTTTGGCCCGGGGCGCGATCCTGGAGACCCGGAATCAAATCCCACATCAGGCTCCCGGTGCATGGAGCCTGCTTCTCCCTCTGCCTGTGTCTCTGCCTCTCTCTCTCTCTCTCTCTGTGACTATCATAAATAAATTAAAAAATAATAATAATAATAATAAAAAACCAAAGAGAATTTACAGGACATGGAAACTGAAACTGGGAGCAAACAAATAGATTAAAATAATTCTAAATTTGCTAGGAATGCGGAATGATGCATCGGTTTAGATTCCACCCTAAGAAGGAGTCCCAAAGGAAATTTCTCTCCCCTTAAAATTAACTCATTATGCTTTATCTAATATTATGGCACTTTTTACTTTGTATTCTCTCCAGATCGTTTCAGTTCTATCACATTCAATTCAGTGAATATTTCATGAGCACCTGTCATGTGTTGGATATTAAAAAGAATACAAATATTGAATTTTTCATTCAGTAACTATTTATTACATGCCCACTATAAGCCAGACATTGTGCTCCAGCTGGAAAATGCAGTGATGCATGATGCATGATATCCTACAATCTGGGGGGGTGGGGTGGGGGGGTGGTGGTGGTAGTAGATAATAACTCTCATAAATATTCATAATATAATGTGATTAGTGCTATTGCATGGCTGTTTAATAATAACAGTGAAGCTTCATTGTAAACTATGTAAGCCAGGCATGGTTCAAAGTATTTTATGTGTTCTAACTTATTAAATCTTTACACCAATCATCAAC